AGTGTCTTAAATTCATCTTTGGCAACCCGTTTGCAGTTTGTTTACTTTTCATGTGCGACTTTTCGTCAATTTTAATTGAATTGTTGTTGATAATTTAAAACAAGGTATGCATAGGCTTATAATTGGTAAAAAAACAAAACAAAACAAAATAGAAAAGAAAAAGAAACAAAACAAATAAACCCAGAACACAAGACGGTCACGTACATTTCAAATACTGAATACTCAGTTTTGTTTGAATCATTGCATTTTGGGTTATATTTTTCCTGATCTGCTGAAAAGCACGTATGTTTGTGTTTTGAAAAACGATGTTGCAACATACTAAATGAAATTGTTAACAAGACTGTCGATGGATATATTCGGAATAGATTTATGTTAAGTTTCAATGGCCAAACACGAACATTTGTTAGATCATAGCAAAATACATCTGACTCTTATATTTTTTTGTCTGTAACCTTGCATACAGAGTTAGAAGTAACTAGGCTACGACCGGTGTCAATTTCAGCGAAACAGCACAAAAGAATGGTTATGAACTGAGGTGGAGGGGACTCCCCAATAATATGTGAAATGAACGTTACCGAAGTGACGTGACATTCATGTAGTTGATGACAATAACCTCGTTTGTTACATTATGATTCTTATATTACTGCCTTAAAACGCTTCATTGATATGATTTTTATGTCAATAATTGCTTTTTTTCAATATTTTCTTATTACTAATTTACATATTATTACAAGCTTGAAATGTACGTTACCTACTCATATTCTGAGGCAATCGTGTCTTTATAGTGGTGATTGTGACATATAACACAATGTGATTACATAGAGAATCTTTTTGGAATAAACTGAAACAAAACGATGAATTTTTAGATGAATTTTAGATGAATTTTAAGCTTTTTATTAAACAGAAATATATCTTGAAATGTACGTTACATTTACATAGTTTTCTAAATCGGCATGGATATATGTTAAAAAAGACAGTAACTTCAAAATAGAATTTTACTACATGTACATGTTAGGTTCCAGTATCTATTAAAAATGACAAGATTCCAAACTGATCGCTCTTAACAAAACAGAGAGAAGAATTTAAAGCATATATTTAAAAAATGTTTTTACACATCTGGATCAAAAAGTAACCTTTGTTTTTTGAAAGGAAAAATCAAAAATATTCTTCGTATGCCGAGAAAATATGTTGCTGACAGAGTTGGTAGGATGTGCTGGTGTTAAGATGAGATATTCCAATTGTGATTTTAATGACTACATTTTTTTGGACATATTTTTTTGGACATTGAAGTAAGCGTAACGTACATTTCAAGCTACATTTCTGAATAAAATTACCCTCTACTTTATCGTCTTGTCATTATTTCATGTATTATAATTTGATGAAAAAAATCTGGAAACAAAATCTTCAGATACTTTCTTTCAAAGGTAATTGATAGAAAAATTGTTATCTTGAACTTCATTTTTTAAAAAAACAGAGAGGCATTTGTGCCCTTATATTGATAATCTTTCGTATAATAGAATTTCTTAAGATTATATAGAGTACTGACCACAATTCGTGAAAATTTTGTTTCGCTAATAAAGAGTCAATGACTATATCGCGAAAATAAGGTGTCGCGAAAATTAAGTGATCTACAGTACCGAGTATCATTGATGTTCATTGACGTCTAAATTTTAACAAACACGGGAGCCAAGGAAAACAATAAATAGCTCTTTAAATTAAGACAACTGATCATTTTTTAAAAAAAATCTCTTATCCATGTTTTAATTTTATGATAATTATGATTACATAACTAATAAATTTTTGACAGTACGTCTGTTGGTCGGGGGCTCTGTCCCTTCACTGTCTATCTGCATAAAGTATTTTAAATACAGAAAAAATTCCTTCAGATACTGGTTGCCCCCCCCCCTCCCCCCTTTCCCCGACTTTCAAAACGTTTGCTACGAGCCTGTTCCAGCCCCTAGCCATATATGGCTTTTACTCATAGGAAAATTATTTTTTATTCCAAATTTTCGCAAGTACATGTATGTATAATCATGTATGTACATCATTTGGTTTTAATGTATATATCTAACGTTACACTTGTGGATGTAGAGAGGGAGGCTGTTTCCAAAATTAACATAAAAGATTTATTCAATCAGTTTTGTTTAGTGTGGCTGTGGGCGCCTAACCTGACCCCAATATGCCCCTTTTCAAGATTTCTGAATCCGCTACTATGTTAATGCTTTGAATTTGAAAATATAGATGGGTTTGCGTAATAGATCTGTTTGAAAGACGGTGAAAAGGGAAAACATGCAAATGTGCTCGTGCTACCTGTGCTTTACATCCTTTATTTAGGTTCAAGTGTGATATTAATTTGATGTCATTGTAGTCTTTAAACCAAATAAAATGCGATCTGCGCATGCTTAAAGTACCTACAGGAGAGGTCTTAGTCTTAGGACCAGTCTTACATCACTTTCTGAAACGCGATTTAGGCCCGTCTAAATTTTGGCGTAACTACGACTTTTTGAGAAACGAGCCCCAGATCATCAACTTTAAGCCGTCAACAGTATTCAAAATTAACAACATCTACATCTCCTTGTGATGTTGTGTCTACTTCTTCGTGTGATGCTGTGTATGTACGCGTGACAGTTGCAGAAAAAATGTCCTAATCTGTGCGTGGTGTACAATTTACATTAAAGTTTAATATTTGGTAAATAATTTGGTAAATATTTTCATTTTTTTCTTTTGCTCATTTACAGTTCAAATTTTGAAGGATACCAGTATTGAAACTTTGAAACTTTGTGACAGCAAGTACCTCAGTAACTTGTCATGGCAATGTTTAAACTACATGTTTATCTGATTTTTGACTATGCTCCACTGGTCAATATGGGATGCTTACACCTGATCTCATTTTCAGAATAATCAGGGGTCCGTGTTCTATGCCTTTCTTACATATTTGTACTGTTTTTTCTTTTCGAGATCGATCAGCTTTTGCATTATCGAGGGACGATTATTCTTAAGGTAAAAATGTAACAAATTAAACTGTAACTGTAATTATATACCATTTAATCCAGAAATTAACGTGTCATTCAAACATGCTAGAGTCGCGGAGTAACGAGTTGATTCTTACGTCGCGGGTTCGAATGCAACTTTGGGAGGTGGAGACCGGTCCTTCGGTTGATTAATTTGTTATTTGACGTCCCTCTCAAAGAATTTTTCAATCATATAGAGACGCCACCACTTGCCGATGGAGAGCTGCAAATTTTATCCTATACTCGGCACTCAGGGCCATTGAGCAGTGAGGGTCTTTTTTGTGCCAACATCTTCTGCGACACGGGACCTGGGTTTACACGGTCTAGTCCGAAGACCTAGTCTCCACATACCACGATGGGATTCGAACCCGCGACGTACGGATCAACTCCTTACTTCGCCAGTCTAGAGCAGACGCTCTTACCACTGCGCCTGTCAGAAGAGACCTAAAAATGGAGGTCCCGTGTCGAAGTAGATGCTGACACGAAAAACATGCCTCCACATTCAATGGCCCTAAGTGCCGAATTAAGGACAGAGTCTATAGCTCTCCACCGGCAAATTGTGGCGTCTCCAAATGAGTGGAAAATTCTCGAGAGGGACGTTAAGTAACAAACAAACACGAAAGGAAAACGGACCAAAAAAGATATCTTATAGGGCAGTTATAAAATCAATTTTAATGTTCATGTACATAGTAAGAAGCTAAATAAAACTAGAGGTACTGTGAGCAATGAGCTCACTAAATGATACCCCCCGCCTCCCATAATGTCTATACCGTAATGTGTAAAGAGGAATAACTCATTCTATCAAATGTTATCCAGAAGCTTCCAATGTGACGTCATAGGTAAATATATAATGGCAATGTTCATGTTTTGCAATGGGAAACCTAAAATACGTGTCGAATAAAAAAGTAAAATAGAAGGTGCACAATGGCAAAATGTAATAAAGATTCTGTGAAAGTTTCATTAAATTTCAATCAGTAGTATAAGAGGAGTTGCGGATAAGAGAAAGCGTAGCAGACGGACGGACGGACAGACAGACGGACGGAAGGACGTACAGACGCTCACGGACGGAAATCCCGATCACTATATACCCTCCCGCTTTTCAAGCGGGGGGTATAAATATACTGGATTTCCTTTCCAAAGGAGGGTCTTTCTTACAGCGGTGGGAAGACTCATGCATATGATGCTTAGAGAATTAAGGGCCGCTCGCTTCCCTCAAGGGTTCGGATCTCAATATGATACGTGGAGACAATTCCTTCAAAAAAAAAACAAAACATAAAAACCAAGGTCCCGTTACTCAGTATGTGTCGGCACAAAAAAATCTCTCACTGCTCAATGACCCCGAGTACCGAGCATAGGGTCAATCTTTGCAGCTTTCCACTGGCAAATGGTGGTGTCTCCATATGATTGCAAAAATTCTCTTGAGGTCCGGTCATCGTCGCAAACCACGGCCAAAATGTACGATCCTATCCCATTCTGGTCGTGGTTGCATGAGACAAAAATATTTCGGTATCGACCAATGCGAGTAAAGCATAGTCAGAAATTGTCCTTTCATACGACCTTTCAATACCCAATCGCAGTGTACGAAATACTGATGATGTAATTTGTTGATTTCAATTTGCAATGGAAACAAAACTTGTCATTGACTGAATATGACGTCACAATAGAGAGGCGTAAATACTACACACTTTTTGTGATCAAGCAGCCACGGGTAGGAGAGAGCTATATGCGGACTCCGGACCGTGGTTTGAGACGATGAGGTTCGGTAAACAAACAAATAAAAGGCGAAGGAAAGCGGATCACCCCTATCCTAGGATCGGGGTTCAATATTTTTTTACTTCATTTTCAATAAGTATTGAGTTAGAGCTTTTTAACTGCGTTGAACTCCCATAACAAAATCTTTGGTCCACGCCTAAATCACATTATTTTTATCTTGATATTATTTGTGAAATAATCAAAGGTTCTAAAAATAGTCTTTTATGTGTCTCTTACCTGTGTCTTCCTGTGATTTGTTCTGTGACATTTTACAACAGACTTCCTCCCTTGAACATACAGTATTATTCTGTCGTTCCTCTACAGATGAACAATGTCGGACTTTTTATTTGTTATTAATCGCATTTATCAAGTATATCTATGCGTTACTTTTTTATCTGCCCAATTTAAACGTACCAGAGTCGCAATGTTTCCCTATCCAACCGATGAAACAGGTGCAGTGATAACTCCCTACCGTGTTCTTGCAGATCCCTTGGTCACATGGCCGTGCTAAGCATTCATCAACATCTGTTATGTATCTAAATATCACATAAGAAGCTCAGTATAGATCTGAAATATACAAATATAATTTCAAAGTGGAAATTTACTTCACCTATTTGGCATCTTTTCCCCGTAAATCCACGCTTGCAGTGACACTGGAAATCTCTGTACATATCCTGACAAACCCCTCCATGATCACAAGTTCCGAATATGCAATTATTTTTATCTGGAATATTTACATTAACATCAGTTGTCAGATCAAATATCTTTTCGACAATCAAAAGCTATTATTAAATTCCCAAGCAAAGAGTTGGATTAATATGTGCGATCCTCATAAATAACATGAAAACGCAATCATTTTTGATTCTCCGACTTCCAAATATCTTCACAAATTTACTTTATTGATAAAATTGGTGTGCACTATTTCAAAGATTTAAGATTCTGTCTGGCAAAATATTTAGAGTTATATATCAGACACCCCATTTAGAATAAACCATATGCTAGAGTACAGGGGTGGTTCATTATTTAAAGTTTGAATTTACACTATTTGAGGATGCTTGCATGTCAGTCTGATTAAACATGGCTCTACAATTGTTGAGAAGAAAATTATATATTTTCCTATTATTTGCTTTGTAAAACTTTTGATCCCCATTGTACTTATCCTATCCCCGGGGGATATGATTTGAACAATCAGGAATCTACACCACCCGAGGATGTTTCTATATACATATGACCAATTATGGCTTTGCTAAGAGATTTTTAAAAATATTTCCTCTATGTTTTTCTTTTTAAAACTTTGCCCACCTGTCATCGCTTTGCTGTTCTTGAGAAGAAGATGCGGTGTCCATGCAGCAGGGGTCTAGGATAATGCTGTCCCACTGCCCATGACATGCAGAAAGCTATCTTTGGGGAAAACGTTTAATAATGAAGATATTTAGATGAAAGGGTAAGAAATGGCCTTTTTTTCCTATACGTTTAAATTTCATTGTGGTCCCACAATACCCCTGGGGATCATGTTTTGAACAAATCTGAATTAATACTTTAGCATGCTTCCATATAAATATGACAGGTGCTGTTCCTAAAAAGATTTCTATAACAATTCCTATGTGTTCCTATCTATAACTCTGCTGATCCATTGTGGCAAGACCCTACCACTACCACGAATATTGCAAAGATTTGGGAGAAAAAATGAATATACACCAATGGCCAATAATTTGCTGTTCTTCTTGAACCGAAGTAATATTTCCTTCATATTTCTGTGCAAAAATTTAATCACCCATTGTGGCCCCACCCTACCCCCGGGGGCTATAATTCGAACAAATTCTAATGTACATTATATCAAGAACATTTCATGCGAGTTTATATTTTCTATCGCACTGGTTCTTGAGCAACTTACAGATTTTTTAAATACATCCACCCGAATTTCACTATTTCTTAGTTATCTGCCTTTGGAAGAGGGTGTGATCCTTTTGAACAAACATGTTTTCTTGAAACCTCTGTACTATAGGATACTCTGTGCAGAGTTTGGTCGAAATTTGCCCAGTGGATCTTGAGAAGAAGTTGAAAATGTGAAAAGTTAACAACAATTACTACGACAATGAACACATATTGATCAGAAAAGCTAAGTTGAGCCTTCGGCGGAGTGGTTTTAAAACGTCAACTCCAGTGTTTCAGTATTGCAGTGAATAAATACAATTTGTCCATAAAAGTATAACGCCATTTTTCCGATGTAATTGTTGTTGAAACATATTTTAGCCAATCAAAATCTCTGCCCGGGACTTACCAGGGGTGACTGTGTAGAACCAAAGTCCGAACAGCCCTAAGGAAGAAAAAAAATCGTTAACGCCACGTGATCATGATTATATGACAACTATTATTTGATTACCGTTTTGTTTTTCAAGGTAAATATTCATTGGTTTAACATATTTCCCAAGTTGTTCATCTTAACAAAGAAAGTTAACCTTCAGTAAAATGAGTTTTGAAATATGGAGACAACAAACAATATTCAAGATATCCCTAACAAAAATATACTATGGTTAACTATGGTAAGTCAAAGTTTTCGTCAAAGATTTTCAAAGTGTCAAAGTTTTCGCCAGTTTTTCAAAGTGTCAAAGTTTTCGCCAAAGTTTTTCAAAGTGTCAAAGGCCCCGTGGGGATCCGGGTTAGAATAGGTCCTCAGTACCCCCTTGCTTGTCGTAAAAGGCGACAAAATGGGGCGGTCCTTCGGATGAGACCGTAAAAACCGAGGCCCCGTGTCACAGCAGGTGTGGCACGATAAAGATCCCTCCCTGCTCAAAGGCCGTAAGTGCCGACCATAGGCCTAAATTTGCAGCCCTTCACCGGCAATGGTGACGTCTCCATATCAGTGAAATATTCTGGAGAGGGACGTTAAACAGTATACAATCAATCAATCAATCAAAAAGTCAAAGTTTTCGCCAAAGTTTTTCAAAGTGTCAAAGTTTTCGCCAGAGTTTTTCAAAGTGTCAAAGTTTTTCAAAGTGTCAAAGTTTTCGTCAAAGTTTTTCAAAGTGTCAAAGTTATCACTATAGTAAATCAAAGTTTTCAAAGTGTCAAAGTTATAACTATAGTTAACTATAGTAAACAATAGTTAACTATAGTATTTTTTTGTTAGGGATAAACGATACAAATCAGTAGAAGACCCAACATAGGCGTAATTATTGAGACAAAACCCAGAACTAGTCTCATAATCTTGAAATTGAGACAGGGCAACATAATGAAATACTAGGGAGAATAAAATGTGTAAAAATGAAGTAGAGGATGATCATTTTGTTTTAATCTGTCCATACTAAATGAAAATCCCGTGCATGCACGGGAAGTTTCTTCCGAAAGCCTACGTACCGGCTTATGTAAGGAAGAACAAGCTAATTCAGAGAATTTGTGTCCCCCGCTTAAGGAAAAAGTAAAACATGCGCAGTTCAGGGGGGGAGGGGGGAGAGTTAGATCCCCCTCACTGAATTTGTAGAATTATATTAAATGTATACTGAAGCAAATAAAATATACCATTATGGATATAAAGATTTAATTGCTTATTCTTTATTATGTGCAAAGAAGATTCTTTTTATATGGAATATTTATCACACTGTAATAATGATTTTATGAGTTTGTACAAGCCAGACCTCGTAAATTTTTCATTTCGCGTGCTGAATACTATTATTTAGTAAAAAAAAGTATTTTAAAAGAAAAAAAGTTGTCCGTCCGGGACTTGAACTCGGGACCTCTCACACCAGAAGCGAGAAACATACCACTAGACCACGTAATCGCTTTAAATGGAGCCAAATATATGCAGAAGTGAAGTCACATACATGTATATATTCATGTTCGGAATTGTCAAAATTTTACACATTCCATGGTGTTTGATTTATTTAGCCTTTATTAAAGAGTTCTAATAGATGTAATAAGAACATAAAGTCCGCCGAGAACCTGTTTTATACGCAATAACTCTCCTCATGCCCCTGTGCTAAAAATAGCGACATGTAATACTATAAATACTAATAAACCAAACGGGGCGGGGCACTTTGAGAGGGAAGAGAGAGGTCCTAGGGCGTTTTGCTATAAAACTACATTGAATAAGCTCAAAATCTTCTTGAAATATCGCCCGGAAATGATAGTGTTACACACAGACAGAATGTGTAAATTTAGTAATTTACGACCTTGAACTTTGACCTTTTGCCTTCAAAATCAATAGGGGTCTTTATTAGGCCACAGGGAGTTGTTATGTAAAATTTCATTGCAATAGCTCAAATGGTTCTAGAGATATCGTGTGGAAACGAAAGTATTATAACAGACAGAATTTGCATATTCATGACCTTGACCTTTGACCTCAAAATCAATAGGGTTCTTCTTTCGTCCATTGGGAGTTGCTATGCTAAATTTCATTGCAAAAGCTCAAAGGGTTCTCGAGATATCATGTGGAAACGAAAGCGTTACAGAAAGACGGACAAACCCAAATTAATATCCCCCACTTTTCAAGCGGGGGACAAAAACGTTGTTCAAAATCCCACATGAAGTAGATATACGACTCATGTATTTATCCCCAAAACTTTATTTGTAGAAAACAGATTCAAATCAACAAAGATCTCATTTAAATTTGATTTCATTCAAAAGTTAGCAGGCAAATTAATGTTACCTGTATTTCCGATGTGAGTACTCATTCTGTATGCACTGGTTGATAGAGAGTACGGGTTGCTGAAAGAAGTTCCGTTGTTAAATCCAATTCCTATTTTCTTTCCAACATCGCTAATGCTCACGTTTATAAAGTTGTACATTGTGTACGTAGACACATAATCTGTTATCAGAATACATTGAACTGTTATCTTCTGAAATGAAATACAGCAAAACACGGTTATTTCGAACACTCTTATAACGAACTGACGCTAAGAAACAAGTGATTTTTATTCCCTTTGAAATATATTCAAACAATACACATCAGGAGCTGGGGAAATATGGACTTTTAAATCATCAGAGGTGGAATCAGGTGCCACGGAGGGGTGAGCATCCCCTGCCGACTGGTCACACCCGCCGTGTGCTACTCGTCATGATCGGGAAATAACAAAAGGTCAGGTTAATCGAGCCATGGAGGAGTCAACATCCCCTGCCGATCGGCTTCAATTGCCTTGTGCAAATAGGCATGATCGGATAATAACGAAAGATCAGGTAAACCGAGTAATGTCGGCATCCCTGAAAACACCAAAGTTTACAACGCTGCAAAAGCTGCACTTCAACATGAAATTATGTGATTCAAAATTCCTCTATTACGATACCCTTCCTTTCTTTAACCGTCTTTTTAAGACGTTTCCCTTGTCTTCAAATTATTGTTCTTCGATTTCGACCCATTACACCGACTTGAAATATCTCGTTAAAATTTATGGAGATTCTCTTTGGCAAATTTAATTGGATTTTTGTGATGAAAGTAAGCTTTATGCTTAACAAATCATTTGACTTTGGTCTGAAAGTTCAAATCGAAGTACATGTAATTAATTCAGGAATACGTATTGGTCATTCAAAAATTATACATGAATACATATTGAATCAGGAGTCTTAGGCAGAACGAATATCCTGTGACTGTCCAATAACTTTAAATCACATTTCTTTAGAATGTTCCGATTTTACACCTATTCGAGGTAGACTTTTTGGAAATGTGAAAACGACGCATGAACCTTTTACAAATGTTCATGTTTATAAAATTTTAAAATATCTGCAAGAAAGAAATTCTTACAGTATAATTTAGGATAAAATTATGAAAACAATTTTTATGAAAAATACTCGAACATATATATTCATTTAATTTTTTTTAACAGTTTAAATATTTTTTTTTTAAATTTCAAGTCCGTCGGACGGGACGTTAAATTGTGCCCAGTGTATGACAACCCCCTTGGCACGTAAAAAAATCGTTTCTCTGGAGTTCGAAAAAGAGTACGCTTACCTGGGGCCTCAAGAGAAACTAGAAACTTTCAAAAACCAATTATTTAAACTAATAGTCCACCGACACATGGCTGAAAAAATTGCCGACTCGGCGTTAAACAATGTACAATCAATCAACAATAGTCAAATGGTTTTCATTAAATCTTGCCAACAAGCTGTAACGGACAAACTAACACACACCTACGCACAGAAGCGATGCTATATCCCAACCGCAGTTAGTGATGCGAGGGGATAATAAGAACTTTCTAAGATTCGGAAAGATAAATTTATAGAGCAAAAATGATGCCATTTAGAAGACTAGTATATTTTGTAACTAGGTTAAATTTTACTTTTTCCTATTTCTTTTCGTCCCCCGCTTTTGCGAAAGCGAGGGGACATTAAATCTCATTCGTCTGTCTGTCTGTCCGTCCGTCAAAAAAAAAAACTTGAACCTTGGACATAACTTTTGATTTAGTGGGGCTATGACTCTCATATTTCACATGTGTATTCTTTGTGACAAGACATTTCTTTGGGTACCACCAAATTTGACCTCGACGTTTGACCCATTTTTACACGAAAAATTCAACCTTTTACTTTGCCCATAACTTTTAAATGATAGAAACTAGAGCTTTCATATTTCATATTTTTATTCTTTGTGACAAGATCTTTCATTGGATACCGATAAGTTTAAGCTTGGAGATTTCCGTACTTATGAAAAAAATTTAACCTTGGCCTTAACTTTGAACGGTAAGGGCTAGGGCTTTCATACTTCACATATATATGTAATCTTTGTGGCAAGACCTTGGATTGAAAGAACTTTGACCTTGGAGTTTGACCTACTTTTTAAAAACTTGAACCCTGGCCATAACTTTTAAACGGTTCAGACAAGGGTTTTCATACTTCACCTATGTAATACTTGTGGCAAGACCTTTCTTGAAAAACTAATAACTTTGACCCTTTGACCTACCTTTCAAAAACTTGACCGTAACTTTTGAACAGTTTGTGCTAGGACTTTCATATTTCTCAATCGTATTTTTGCGAGATGGTCCTACTTTGGGTACTAATATATTTAATTTGCATTTAAGAAAAGTTTAATCTTCGCTAATATGCCATACGGGGTCATCAGTGTTTCACTTTCTTAATTGCAGCCCGGAGGACCGGGCTGCTCTATACATGTAAGTTTAAGTGTTGGTGTATGGGGATTGGGATGGGAGTAGTTATTTAGAATTGAAGGTTTTCTCAACATTGAAAAGATTGTTAATCAAAATGTTCTTTACGTTTAAAAATTACGAGATATATAATATATTTACTTCCATAAAGTGAATCTGTAAAAATATATATATTTTTCATATGTAATATATAAAGTTGCTTATCATTTACAATCGAAAAAACGACAGGTCCCTTTTTTTAGAACATCGAGTTTTACTTCTCGGATAAAAACGTGCTCTGCACAGTTCGTATTTTATATTCTAAAATTGAAAATTAATACATTTTTAAATATAGGTGACGCGTGTGTTTAACTTCAATTTATATTTTATACAGCCAACATTTACTTGAGGAATTGATCAAGTTTAAAATGGTATCTTTTTTTATTTACTTTTATCCGACTACAAGTTTTCAAAATATTCGCGACTATCGTCTCCATCAATTAGACGCATGCCTTTTCACACACATCAAAGCGGTTTGATGATCAAGACTCATTTTCATTTTTTACTTTATATATTTCCCGGGCGACAATTGATGGTAACGTCAATGTTTTCTTGTTTTTGATTGATAAGAGATAGGGCTTTTATATTTGACATGTGCATTACCTGTAACAAGATTTGACACATGTCATAAAAAATGACAGCCCACCCACAAAGACACCGAAAGCCAGGGGACCACAATTCTTTGAATTTGCTTATTAAACTAATTATCTAAATGCAGTATTTAATAGTAGTGGTCGAAACTCCAGTAATATTTAATCAAAATGTTTGACTATTTTCTAAGGTGCTCTCTCCAATGAACCTGCTTTGAGTAAAATCAGGATCTGTACAAGACTGTATTATGAATTTAACGCTAATCTTTGAGTTTGACATACACATGTACACACTGGTAAACTTGAGTGAGAAAGTTGTCACCAAGGGGAGATAAAACTGCTCATAAAAAGGATTTCACCCGTAGACTTACTTTGACCTGTCATCTAGAAATTAAGTTCAAGGTCACTGTGCAACATTTTGATTGAACGTATGAGCCATAAAAGGACTAAGAATGAAGGATATGGATATAACGAACGATATTAAATATGAAAGTCCATAAAACTACAGATTAGGAGCAGAACAAACACGGACCTCCAAAACATCAGTGGTGGGATCAGTTGCCATGGAGAAGTGGGCATCGCCTGCCGACCGGTAACACCCGACGTGTGCTCCTTGTCATGAAAGTCCGGGAAATGAGGGAAATATCCAACTAAAAATTAGTATGAAACGTCAGTCAGCATTTGACTCAATGATAAATTGTATTTGCTACAAGGTCATTGTATCGACCATACAACTTACGAAATGATGACTTTAAACGAGACTGCTGATATTCTTGTTTCATCAACTTGCATGTCAATAATCTACCTCGTTTTGTAAATTGTTCATACGTAGAGCATGCTCTTGCGCAAATCAATTGAGATAGAGATATATAAAAGCCGTATGCAGGTGATGAAGGTATATTGCTGCATAAGTAAGGGAAGTTGAAGATAGCAAAGTTAAAGTCATCACGTTTATCATAGAGCTTGGTTGTCAGATAACCATTAACATCTTTTTCAAGTAAAATATCCAAGTATGACCTCACCCTCACCAGGATATATAAAATACATGGTTACTGTCTTGAAATATAAGCGATATTTGGGCGAGGGTAAGAAAACGTGATAGAGGGCGAGGCTTGCCGAGCCCTCTTACGTTTTCGACCCGAGCCCAAATATCGCTTATATTTCAAGACAGTTATCATGTATTTTGTTTATCCTGCAACAAAATTTTACATTTGAGCGTCCAAAACAAGCTAATTCCGACAGATTTAGGCACATCTCTGCAGTTGAAACTATGACGCAATGGCGTAAACATTGCAGTATACCGTGACGTCACAATGCTTTTGGAACGTCGGAATACATGCACGAGGCTTTATTAGGGCAGTGACCGGATAAAGCTTTGGTTGATTAGTTACTTTTATTAGGTCAATGCAAGGGATAGTTGCAGGATATAGTATCGACATAGGAATGGAAATTACCACTGTTAATTGACAATACGTCATTGATATATCTAAATGTTGAATTGAAGGCCAGAGCAAGTGTTTTCTTCTTTTCACGCATAAGATTTTGCACAAATTCTGCTTCATACGAAGACAAAAATAGGTCTGCTAATAACGGAGCGCAATTGGTACCCATGGAAATTCCAGTAGATTGTTGGAAGACCTGGTCTCCAAAAACCACATAGATATTGTCAATCAGAAAATCAAGCATCTTTTAATGTCAACTTCAGAGTACTTTTGTGTGTAATCAGAATGTGTTTTAACAAAATAATTTTGCAAATGACCAATGACCAAATAGTGAAATTTACGAGTTTCATTTTTATTGAAAAAGCAGCTGTCAATGATATCAAATAGCTGAAAAAATATTCTGTGGACAGCATTTTCTTTTTCTTTTTCCATGACCTCTGCTCTATAATATTTTCAATATCAGTGAAATTGTCATGATAATTTAGCTTAAGCATTTAAAGAGTAGTCTTGCGCATGTGCTTTAGAAGAGAGACCCAAACACATGGTACATTATTTACATCTAAGAACAGTAACCCGTACACTTATCAATTGTAAATTATATATGTTATTTGTGTTTTCATTCATGATGCTGCTGCACATGTTTGTAATAAACTAGTTCTCATCGCCATTTTGATTCTGTTTAATTAATTCAACAAAAACTTGTAACTTAGGTTTGCAGAGATGTTGAGGTACTAAGAGGTAGGCATTTCTATACGAAGAGGCTCATTTTCAGCGGGATATTTCACTCTTTGACTGTGGGTTTAATACATACACAATTTTACTTAAGTGATTACAAAGAGAAACGCTAGATCAACTTTTTTCAGACAAGATGGAGATAAATATTACTTCAAAAAATAAAAAATAACTTACATGATCATTACGGGATATAAAACTCGTATTATACCAAGTCGCTACCAGCATCCATTCAGCCTGAAAAAACGGTGTCCTGCTAAACTTTTGTACATCGACAGTGGCATTCTGCAATGATGATTTGTCCATGTAGACTCTGTAGGATACTCTATCATTTTGAATACTTTTTGGAACCAGGTCTGTCCAGAAGGGGGCCAAAAACGGATAAAACGTGGTTAGGTTTGGGTTATAAGTTGTAATGGAGGCATTGAACGTGATGAGACCATTTGTACTCACCTAGGACAAGAAAACCGTTTTCAACAGAATTTAACATACTACTTTCAAGAGATAAAAGGATTCATTTTTTATGGTATACAGATATCCGTACATAAACTTGATGAAAAATGTCATTCCCAACTGGTATTCCGTGAGATAAATTGATTTCCCTTGTTGAGTCGTCACCGCCTAGAGTGCTTCCTTCATAAGGATAATGCTGATCACCTAAAAAAATATGTCCAAGTTTTAATTCATCTTCGTTCTTAGTTTACGGAAACTCGAATGAGATTTTTTCTTATTTACCCATGGTCAAAAATCTGTTGCACTCGTCCACATCAACCAAAATTTGTATCTACGTTACAAAATCTGTTTCGTTCTCTAAGGAATGATTTAGATTAAGCGTGAATTATTAGTTAGTAGATCACACGGGCTTGCAGGTAGACATATTTTTAGCTCTACTGGTCAAAGACCAGAAAAGCTTAAGCGATAGTAAGGTGTCCATCGTCCGTCCACCTGTCTGCCTGTAAACAATTTTTATGCCCCCGGATCGAAAGATCCCGGGAGTATTTTGTTTTTGTCCTGTCTGTCTGTTGTCAACTTTAACCTATCCCATTACTGTTGAGTGGGTGGTCCACTGGTTTTCATATTTCACAAGTGTATTTCTTGTGACAAGACCTTTCTTTGGGTACCACTAAATTTGACCTTTGAGTTTTACCTACTTTTACAAAAGAATTAAACACATTGTAACCTTGGTCATAACTTGTGAACAGTTGGAGCCAGGGCTTTCATGCTTCACATGTATATTTATTGTGACAAGACCTTTCAGCTGGTATAAACATTTTGACCTTGGCCTAAGAATTTGACCCACTTTTTAAAAACTTTACCTTGGTCATAACTACTGAACAGTTTGAACTAGGCTCTCATATATTTCACAGGTATTCCTTGTGACAAAACCTTTCTTTGGGTACAATAACAATTGACCTTGACCTTTGGAGTATGATATGCATTTGAGAGAATCCAACCCTCGCCATAAGCTGCCATACGGAGATATATAATTTTTTCTTTATATAAACTGTAGTTTAGAAGACCTTGGACTTTATTCTATAAGTGGTAATCCTACTTATACTTCCCTTTCTAAGGAAGAAATTCTTCAAAATCATATGTCAGTTTTAAATATTTTTAATATTCCACAGAGCCAAAATGAATTTGAACTACCCTATATATATTGGATTCCGAAACTTCATACAAATCCTTACGAACAAAGATACAGTGCGGGTTCCAGTTAATGTTCAATCAAGCCTCTTTCGTTACTCCTCACAAACATATTAACAGTAGTGACGTAAAAGCTTCAAGAGTACTGTGCAACAATATATTCAAGAAGTGGTGCAAATCAGATGCTGATACTTAAAAATTCCAAAGAACTTTTGGACAATTTGAAATCACAAGATTTTACGAAAATCAACAGCTTAAAAACTTACAAATTTTCAACTCTATACACAACCATTCCCCACGATAAATTAAAGTCCAGGCTTTTTGATCTCATTGACAACTGCTTTTTCAATAAAAATGGAACTCGCATTTACTTTCCTGGTCATTGGTCATTTGCAAAATTATTTTGTTAAAACACATTCTGATTGCACACACAAGTACTCTGAAGTTGACATTAAAGAGATGCTTGAGTTTCTGATTGACAATATCTATGTGGTTTTTGGAGACCAGGTATTCCAACAATCTATTGGAATTCCCATGGGTACCAATTGCGCTCCGTTATTCGCAGACCTATTTTTATATTCATATGAAGCAGAATTTGTGCAAAATCGTATGCGTGAAAAGAAGAAAACACTTGCTGTGGCCTTCAACTCGATATTTCGATATTTAGATATATCGACGACGTATTGTCAATTAACAATGGTAATTTCTATTCCTACGTCGATACGATATATCCTTGGGAGCTTGAGATAAAAGATACCACAGAGTTGACACATTTGTTTCATACTTGGATATTTTACTTGAAAAAGACGTTAACGGTAATATAAAATCTAACAACCAAGCTATATGATAAACATGATGACTTCAACTTTTTCTATTGTCAACTTCCCTTACGTAATAAGGCGTATGCAGCAATATACCTTCATCACCTGCACACGGAGTGTATATATCTCAGTTGATTCGATACGCAAGAGCATGCTCTACGTATGAACAATTTCTAAAACGAGGTAAATATTGACGAGCAGGTTGATGAAACAAGAATATCAACAGTCTCGGTTCAAGTCGTCTTTTCGTAAGTTCTTTGGTCGATACAATGACCTTGACATGTTTATAAATACAATTAATCACTGAGTCAAATGCTGAATGAGGTTTTTTTTTATACTAATTGTTAGTCCATTATTTATACACTGAATTGACGACGTATTTTCCGTCATTTCCCGATCATGACAAGGAGCACACGGCAGGGGTGACCAGTCAGCAGGGGATAATCAATCCTCCATGGCACCTGATCCCACCTCTGATGTTTCGGAGGTCCGTGTTTGCTCTGCTCCTATTTTGTATTGTTTTATGGACTTTGACATTGAATACTGTTCGTTATCTCTATATCCTTCATATAACTTAACTCACAAGTATTCTACACTAACATATATAATTCTGTATATCGGTTTTTGATTTCAATATACGGTATTACTGGGGTTTCTGTAGCTGCAGAACTGTAGCTCAATGATTGAGAAAATGTGTCCGAATTTTCTGAAGCAGAGCTACAGACCTGCAGATAGGGTTTCTGAAAATAGAAATTTCTGTTGAAGTTTGAAGTCAAATTTAAAAATATTAAAAGACGTAAAACTGTACTGAACTTTAGATCGTTAAGCGTAAACTATCTGAACAAACTCGAAGATTAAAAACTCAAGAGTTTAAAATACAAAAATCGATTTTTGAAAATTTGAACAATAAAGGTAACCAGAAGTCTCTGTCGAGACTGAAGCTCTAGTGGTTTGTACTTATAGCAAAGGAAGAGAAAACTAAGCAGTTGGGAATTAAAACTTTACAACAGCAATAAATAGAGTAATGATCCTTGATTAAGTCTCTTAATGTTCTTAGTGTAGTCTACTTGCATGCCACATTATATTACAAGTTAATTGATGCAAAGCATCAAATCGGCCGCTAACATATTTAACTTGTCAAAAAAGAAATTTCACAATTCAAAGCATTCATGCAAGAAAAGAACAGGATATTCAAAGCTGAAATAGTGATCATTTTTTATTTCAGGCCGTCTTCAAAGCAAAATAAATAGATAAATATTTTTAAAAATTTGATAGAAATTTTGGTATCATGCCTGCTGTTCAATCCAATTCAATGAATAAAATATATTTTAAACTAGAAATTTTAGTGCATTTGCTCATCCAATGAATTTATCGATGTAAAAAAGTCTATGATGAATATGCATGGGCGTCGGATGCAAATCGAAAGTGGGTCGGGGGTGGGGGTGGGGGTGGGCTAATTGAAAGTGGGGGTGGGAGGCTTAACCAACAAAAAATGGTAAAGCCTGTTTTCAATGCCTATATAATGTATATATTTGCAAAAAAGTGGGGGGAGCTAACAACCCCCCCCCCCCCCGCCCCCCCCCCCCCCCCCCCCCCCCCCCCCCCCCCCCCCCCGGTTCCGACGCCTATGATATGAAAAATTATTGTCATCAAGATGAAGATGTATGCCTTTCAAGATATACCACGTGCTGATACCCTGGTTATTTGTCACGTAATGCCTACTTAGTATATGGTTTCTACAGTGTAGGCTATGCTGCATGGTGCGGTGCAAAATGTATAAAAATAATCTTTGTGTCATTCGCAGCTGTAACATTTTCAAACAAGTTTTTACTGGTGGAGCAACTTTTCAATTTTTTATTCACCATGCACTTTTACCACGTGCAAGTCATTATTATTATCCGGAAAATCATAACGATTTCCTTTCATATCTTACACACTCCCTGGATGGGGAGTACCTATTGTAAACTCTTTTTATTTAACCATAGATTATCAATTATCTGATGCCAAATGATAATGAAAATGAAACAAAATAACAACAATTAAAACTTAATTTAAAGCAAGTTTTTAAAATATTTTACTCATGATTTTATACATGTTATCATTTGAAAATTATTTGACGGAACTAATAAAATAATAACATCTCATTTCACCATGTGCACTTTCTAACACAACCACAAATAGATCGGCCGCTGCTGCGGCCGATAATAATCAGATTAAAACTGTATTTGGAGTAGCATTTTGGAAGTATTTAACAGAAATTTTTATTTTTCGTAACCAAGACAATAATGTTCATTGAAGTCAAAAACCGATATACAGAATTGTGTATCTTAGCGTAGTTACTTGTGTGCCAAATTATATTGAAATCAGACCAAACTGTAGGAGGAGTTGCATTTTAAAAGAATTTCACAGAAATTTCTATTATCAGTAACCACGGCAACACCGTTCATCGAAATAAAAAATCGATACAAAGAATTATGTATCTTAGTGTAGTCTATTTGTGTGCCAAGTTATATTAAAATTAGCTGCAGAACTGTAGCTCTCTGCTTGAGAATATTCGGACGGATAAGGCAGAAAGCTACAGATCCATGCGTTGTTAAAACCTTCGATTTACGCCGACGATGTTTTGTCGCTCACTTCGGGTATTTTTGCTTCTATTTTATACTTTCCCAAGCTCAAAAATGATATTTAATAATTAATCATACATTTAACTTCAATTCCTGATAACTTACTATACTAACATGTACAAATGACATTATGTGGTTACGGACGTCGAAATGGAATTCTTTTAAATCGACATTATAAAACTATATCCAGAACTGTTTCGGACCGATAAAAGGTAAATAAAGTATCAAGAGTAAGAGTTAAATATATACGGACGGACGCCGGACGCATTACTTCTGGACTCTGACCAGTATAGCTAAAAATCTAAAACTTAAAATATTGAATCCGTTTGGAAATTCAGGTTTTTGAACTAAAATATTAAATTCCAGTATACGAAACCAGTTAAAGATTTTGAAATTTGAGCTAATATTTCAAAATTATAAAACTCTAAATCATTTTAGAAGTTTGAATTTTAAGTGTTACACGGACCACTTTAACCGGTAACCGAGTAAAATGTGCTGTAAACATATTACATTTGGCTGTGTATTCTTTACAGCGCCTTTGGCGGAAAGAAACTCCCACTTTTTCAAGTACACCGCTAAATGTCTTGCACATATACTAATAATTAAGCACATTAAGAAATGCGCAAAATCAAATCTACGCTAATTGTTCAAAATTCAATTATCGCCAAATATCGTATAATACATTTACAGTGCGTCACAGAATGTATCACTTAATCTTATATACTTGTTAAAGGGAGGAAACCCAGCTATGCAAGATAGACGGCAAGATTCGCGGAGGCATCAGAATCACGTAATACATTAGATGTCCACATTAATAAAAACAGTGAGATGAGCTACTTTGCCAAATGGTCATATGCTGCATGTTCTGATGGAGAGCTCAAGAACTAGGTTTATCGATGTTTAAGGTTCAAACAGAACTGTGGTAACCTTCGTTTCATAAAATTATTAGCGGTCCCCTAATGAATTTAGCTGGTCATAGTATTATGTAAGTCTATAGGCCATGTCAGGTTGATGAAATGTAAGAAAAAGAAAAAGAAAAAAGACTTACTTGTAGCTGAAATAACCACAAAAGATACAAAGTAAATTATATTCATTTCATGAAGCTGGAACGTTGCCCCAAATCCAGTAAAAACAATTATTACATCACTTTTATCGTTTAAAATATTAATCAAACGTCTTTCTAACACTTAATCTTTTCTCTTCTAATGAACCACAAACTTGTGCTTTCTACTAGGAGGAAGTTAAATTCAGAGTAGACCATTCCACAATCGTCAAGTATTAAAGTAAACAATAGGCTGATATAAATTACACACAATCAGCTCCGCAATCGACAACTTATACTTCATAGGCTAATGTAAACTAGTGCTAATTGTAACGGGGACCGTTACAGATGTTCCCCAAACGCTCCCAACTCCCTTTTGGTGCCATATTCCCTATAAGCTTCATTAAATAAGACAATCTCTATGCATTTGAGACTTTAACAACGTTTACCCAGAAGTGTACCAATTTCATTCAAATTTTAGCATTGCACGCGTGCGCATGTGAATGCACGTGCGTAATGACCATATAATCTTGTCTTCACAATCCATAGATTTTAATATACTAAATATTAAAGCATTTAATCCAAAAGTATTTAAAAATACGCTAATTCAAGTGTATTTTTTATTTTACTCATTTCACGTGCACGCACGTGCTCACATGAGCATGGCGACCATACTTTCTTGTAGAAGTCCATTACATCTATCTATGTTCTAAATCCCACCCTGTTTGGTTGAAAACCAAGGGAGTTATAGCTGTTCAAAGATTCAGCCAATCAGATTGCAGCGCACGTACATGCACGTGTATGCATGTGCATGGTGACCATATCTTCTTGTAGAAGTCCATTATATCTATCTATGTTCCAAACCCATCCAGTTTGGTTGAAAATCAAGGGAGTTATAGCTATTTAAAGCATAAGCCAATCAGATTGCAGCGCACGTGCATGCACGCGTTTTCATGACAATTGCTATATATCTTATTGTTGGATATCATAATACATGCCTATTTTTAAAATTTCAAAGGATTTCGTCAAAAAACAAGAATTGAAAGATATTGAGACTTAAGTTTCAGCCAATCAGAGCGAAGCGCACGTGCATGCGCGTGAGATCTTGCTTCTTTGACAATGTCATCTTGTCTATGCTTCTAATATATACTTCTTATATGAGTTTTAAAGCATATCATCAATAATTTAAATAGTTGAGTCTGTATCAATTATATTGGACATTTCTCGTGTTGCACGTGCGAGCTCTTGCAAGCACACGTGCATGCACATGCGTTCATGATATTTTTTTTATTACGGGCTGTAGATCTCCCTATTGTATGACTATGTTCAAAATTTCAAATGATTTTATCAAAAAATAAGAAAGATATTGAGACTTTAGTTTCAGCCAATCAGAGCGAAGCGCACGTTCTTGCACGTGCGATCTTGCTATTTTGACCATGTCGTCTTGTGCATACTACTCATATATCCTTACATTATGAGTTTCAAAACATTTCGTCTAAAAATAGAAAAGTTACGGTTATATCCATTATATATTGGTCATTTCAAGTTTTGCACGTGCGTGCTCTTGCAAGCACGTGCGCGCAAAATGACCTTGATTCCGCAAATCTACATAACATGCCTACTTACCCTAAAAAGGTTTCACCTAAGTCGAATGTGTAGTTTACAAGATCACTCGCGGACAAAATTTTCCCAGGAAGAAAAATAATAATAAGAACTAGAAACTCTTGTTGCTACAGCAACAAAGAAGGTCTTCCGTTCTCCTCTATTAATCTGTATGCAGGATGTTTTTTTTTTCTATTTATAAAAAGACAGACATATAATAAACTACAGTCAATTCTCGAATTATCGCCATTCGATTCATCGCCATTTTCGCTATACCGCCATGATTTCCCAAGAACGTTTTTCCTGCTATATAAAATTCTCTTTATAACGCCAAATTCGCATACCGCCATCCGCCACCCTGTTTTCACAACAAACGTCCATTTTTAAGTGTCAATTATCTCGATATACCGCCACAGGTGCATGTGGTCAGTGAAGCGCGGCTAATTGGTTGACACTATCCCTGTTATAAAGCATGCAAAGGCAGACAAGGTAAATGCAATTAAGTAATTAAATAAGAACAAAATAAACAATAATTTTAACATGAACTATTATAATAATTTTGTTTTCTGTTTAATAAAAGTATTTAGTCACGGTTTCACCACGAAAGCGGTCGTGGTTAAAGTACGCCGATAACGATAATATTTTGATGATCTCTACTTTTAACAATGCAAAGTTTGCTGAAAAAATAATTATACGGTATAAAATGTGAACGTTTCACAATAATGCCATAAACAGTGAATTTATTCAAGAATGCATTTTACATACTATCGGCAATATATCACGACGATCGACCCAGCATGTTTTTTTTCCAATATCAGGCGTGCAGATTTACATGCATACACATGTACTTGTTTTTATTTCATAACTGCACATGTTGTTTTAGCGAAATTGTACATTAAAAAAAAATTACTTGAAGTATTTTCAACCAGAAATATGTTTTTATATACATGTATATGTATTATTAAGAATAGAAACGCTAAATGGTATTTCTAAGAACGGTAACTCTACTTGTTTTCTAAAAGATGGGAAATTCAATTCATCGCCAAATTCGTTATACCGCCATGATTTCTAAATAACAAAAGGTGGCGGTTTATCGAGAATTAACTGTAGTAGACTAATTGTTCAGTGAACAATTATCGGCCTTTCCACCTTTTCAAGTATTTCAATATCATTTGGGCTGAAAAAAAGCAAGAAAATAAATAAAACAGCAATATTCTCATTTCTCTACAAGGATTTTAGATCGGGCTCGTAGTTGGTATAAATATACTCTAAACAGACTTCCTGGATTATACGAGTCGACTCGGGGATAACCACGATTTCATTGATCACGCAAAGAGAGCGCGTTCAAAACATTGTAACACGCTCCTAGGTGTATATATCAGCTTGAATGAGATTGTTTTCGAGTTAAGATGTAAGGGGTAGGGTCTGATTAAAATTATGATATACCTAATAATATGAATAACATGCATCTGATCTGCGCATCAAGACGGAAGCGTAAGTGAAAACGTTGTGAAATGTCCCATGTGTACCTGCATCATATGTGCATTATACATGTATTAAAGAGATGTTTGAAAAATATCCGATTTGAGTTGTTTTATGTTTGAAATGAATGGCGATAAATTATTTAAGAGCATGTGAGAAACATGAGCGAGAGATGCAAGGCAGTTTGTAATTATAGAAAAGGAAAACAGAGAATCGGGTTCGGATTTTAACAATCCCTACCAAATAGGTATGGAATATGTGTGTGGATTAAATTCAATGTAAGTAGCATAAATAAAATTCCAAATAGGTATTTCTAGATGGGAAACACAGGGAAGAAACGTGTATTGCTTTTTACTATGCTGAAAGTCGCTATTTCTTATAAGATTGTGTTATTCTAGAAAAAAAAATCAAATTTCAAATCAAATCAAGATTCATTCAATTAATATTAAATCTAAATAAAATTAAAATAAATTCCACATACCAAAGAAAGCTAGAATACTTGCTATTAAAATGTCGTATTAGAGCAGGAGAATCGAATGATATTAACAACAAATGAAGAAATAGCCAATGCAAGCTTTAATTCATTTTATGCCCATCGGAACTTAAATTTCAGACAGAAAAAAAATGCAGTTTTTGCCGATATTCCGTAGAATTTCATTATACTCAAGAGACTCACCGTAAAACTCTTAGGACACTTTCTTTAAGGTGTCTCCTACTCAAATCCTTAATCTTATGTCGATCTGTGGTGTCTTTTCAGAGGTAGAAGTTTTTTCTATGTTGCGACTGATTTTTTTTAAGGGACGGGAAGGGGGGGGGATTTCGTAAGCATTTGTTAAAATGAGAGTTGTTAATACCTCCACATACTTAAGCTTGATTGTGACCTTAGGGTCAATGAGGTCAAAGGTCAAGGTCATTTATCAAGGTCAAAGGTCAAGGTCATCAGAGAGAGAGAGAGAGAGCACTCGCGCTCACCGACTTGTGGGGAACTCACACCTGACAAAGGACCTTTCTTATGGGGAAAGTTCAGAATTGTGGGGAACTCTCTCGTTCCCCACAAATATGGTCATGGGGTTTTTTGAATTCTACGTGTTCTACTGATAATATTTATTCGATTTGTGGTCATTTTTGAAAAAATCCCCATAAGTCCGTAAAATTGACTCGCAGTAATTTTCTCACTGCACCGTAAAACGAATGTTTGAGGATGCTGGGAAATGTTCATTCGGAACGCAGCGGAATTTAAACTGGTCCCCATATGATACCAATTTATTGCGGGCAATGGCTGCTCCGAGAATATGTGGTAAGTAGATTTTTTATCATATTTTAAAGATATTATAGGCTGAAAACTTAATTTAACTACGTAAATCATGCATGCAGTTATTTCTTACAGACGTTCGTAAAGTAACATTTAATAATGAATGCACGTAAAACTTTGGGAAAGTTTGACCCGACCTAGACCTCGGTTATTTTTTTTTAATTGTATCATGTTTATAGGCCTAATGGCTATCCTGTAAGAACAAACTACGAATTTATATGAATTCAGCACCCCCGGGATATGGTAAGCGTTTAAGGCTTGTCCCCATTTTTTGTGAAACGCGACTATCCTCCTCATGCCCATACAAATTATGCTAGACGGTGCGACTGTCTGGTCTTTAGCTGTTTAGTGAGGCCTGTGTGGGCGAATTAATTGTAAAAGTTGATCTGACTTAAACTGTACGTGTATTTATAAACGATGTCAGTCACACACTGACTCAGTGTCAGAAATGTATCACAGAGAACTCCACCTTTTCAAAAGGTCCATTGAAATCAGTACATTTATAGATTTACGTAGCTAAAATTTCTTAGCTTGGTTAGATTATTTAACATGTTTAATTCTTCCAAAAAAAGCTTGATTTAGTTATCGTTTTTTTATCAAGTCATTCTTCCTACTTGTATATATTTCTTCGCATGCGTTGGTTTGCATAGTGTCCATTTGCCTTCATTATCTTTCACCTGCACCCTGTTCTACATTCATCCTGATTGCCCTACTGAAAATATTTTCATGATTTTAGACCATCATTATCGATGTATCATAAGATAATTTTTTTTTATTTTGCTAAGGCCAAGATAAATAGATAGTGTTTCCTATTTTAACCTTAGAAAAGATAGGGTAGGTAGGTAGGAAAAACATTTTTATTTTATTTTAACATTTTATTGGCAGGCACGCTGCCACTTTCCCCCAGGATTTCACTGTCAAAATATTTCTGATTAATATGTGTAAGATATGCATTTCTCAAACATGGAAGTGATCAAGATTGGGATTTCATTTCTAATTGTAAACTGGAATTCCGAATACTGTAATATGTGTATATAATTTGGTGCTTTCAAAATTTAGCATAATCACTGGGTTGGCATAATCATTAATTAGCGCTACACATGTATGTGCGGTGTATTGTATATATCAATATGTAAATGAATTCTTAGCAGTATTCATGAATTATACATTGTTGTCTGCACCAAAGCCGCTAAAATATGAAGCCTGCATTTTAAAGTATACATACAGTAGTTTACTCATGGAAAGATATTAGCAGAAAAAAATATTGAGGGTCGGCTCCTATACTTCTTAGAGTTAGGTGGGGAACTAAACATGCTGAAAACACACTACTTATTTATTAGGCCCAATTAAAATGTCTAATAAATTCATTTTAATTAAATACTTATTGTTAATTAAGGATCACCTTTTATTTTTAAAATTTGTTACAATTCAAACCTTGGCCTTGGGGTTTAGATGCTGATGGAATAAATAAGAAACAAAATCATATGTAAAAAATAACTAAAAATCCTTTTCAAAACCTCAATTACTATTGAATTATGATTGGGCGTGGTATACGAAATAATGCGAATTGGAGGAAATGGAGAAACATAGTAATAACAATTAGATCAGCTTTTATGATAGCGAGCATATTAAAAATTTAAAATTGGTTATAAAATTGAAAGGTAATGTTGAGATTTTAAGATTCAATATCTATTATTCATAATTATTTATATTTGCTTAACTGAATTTATACCTTTTTAAATTTATTTACATATAACGATCGCGCTCAAAGTTTTGGGTCTGATAATGCTTCCTGATTTTGGTCTTTTATTCTTTTTTTTTAAGAAAACCATTTGATTTCTGCACCCACTCCTCCTTTCTAAAAATTTTTAATCTGCCTCTGGTAACTTTACGCTGTATATTTCTATGCTCATTTTAATTAAATTTAAATAAATATACTAAACACCACTATCATGCGATTTCAATGACTTTAATTAATGGTATTGATTTAGTCTTCTGTCATTCCTAAAAATAAATTGTAATGTATCATTGATTTTTTGCATATTAAACAGTTTCTGCTCATCAAACATCCACGAGAAAGTGTTCTGTTTCGCAGTTATTGTACGGTTGATTTAAAAGGGAAAGCTCTCTGGGCTATGTCACAAGAAGGAAAAAAGTAAAATATTTTTCATACCTACCTACCCACTGTTAACAATATGGTTCAGGAAAGGGCATACATTAAGTCTTAATTTTGGCATGCCGCATGGGGTCAAAAATTACTATTGAGTGATGTGGAGATATACCTGTCTTGTAATTATAGGTAAAGATATGAACTAGTGATGGAACGATTGTCGCCGACAATCGATTGTCGGTCGTTAGGAGCTCTTCGATGCTACTAATCGATTATAAAATAAATGTCGCCGACATCGCTAACAAAAAACAAAATTGTCATACTTTAATTTTATTACCAAATCCAAGTGCAAAGAGCATAAAAGCAGTGATGAACGTTGAAAACATGGAAGGATTCCGTGTCTTGTTGATACTTTTACCGCCATGATTAAATATGGGGTTAGACTAATACCAGGAAATGCTAATTTGCAAGGTTTTACTATACAAAGGAAAACATAATTAGTCTAGTCAATCTTTAAACGTAATTATACCCCCCGCAAACGAAGTTTGGGGGGGTATATAGGAATCACCTTGTCCGTCTGTCCGTCTGTCCGTCTGTCTGTCTGTCCGTCTGTCCGTCTGTCTGTGCAATCGTGTCCGGTCCATATCTTTCTTACAGAGGGACATTAGAATCTACTACTCCACATTAAGATTGCTCATAACCTAAGGGTGTGTCATGACCTTGACCCAAGGTCATTTGGGGAAGTTCAAGGTCACTGGAAGAAAAATTTCATAATTCGTGTCCGGTCCATATCTTTCTTATGGATAAACTTGGTAGGTTCTCATGTCACACAAAGATTGCCCATGACCCAAGGGTGTGTCATGACCTTGACCCAAGGTCATGTGGGGAAGTTCAAGGTCACTGGGAGAAAAATTTCAAAATTCATGTTTGACACAGATCTTTTATGGATAAGCTTGGTAGGTTCTCATTTCACACAAAGATTGCCTATGACCCAAGGGTGTGTCATGACCTTGACCCAAGGTCATTTGTGGAAGTTCAAGGTTACTGGAAGAAAAATTTCATAATTCGTGTCCGGTCTATATCTTTCTTATGGATAAACTTGGTAGGTTTTCATTTCATATAAAGATTGCCCATGACCCAAGGGTGTGTCATGACCTTGACCCAAGGTCATTTGGGGAAGTTCAAGGTCACTGGTAGAAAAATTTAATAATTCGTGTCCGGTCCATATCTTTCTTAAGGATAAACTTGGTAGGTTTTCATTTCATACAAAGATTACCCATGACCCAAGGGTGTGTCATGACCTTGACCCAAGGTCATGTGGGGAAGTTCAAGGTCACTGGAAGAAAAATTTAATAATTCGTGTCCGGTCCATATCTTTCTTATTGATAAACTTGGTAGGTTCTTATTTCACTCAAAGATTGCCCATGACCCAAGGGTGTGTCATGACCTTGACCCAAGGTCATTTGGGGAAGTTCAAGGTCACTGGAAGAAAAATTTTATAATTCGTGTTTGATACATATCTTTATTATACAAAAACTTACTTCTGAAAAACCCAGCGGGGGGTATTTTGTCCCGATTGGACAGTTCTAGTTATTATCATAAATACAAGTCTAACTTCTGGATAATTACTTTTAAGACTTGCAATTTTATTATTTTAACTAATTAAAACTAATTTCAAGAAAAAATATACATGTATTAAATGAAAGGTGGGACTAATATCAGTAAAATACCCATTGCATGGACTTTATAAAAAAAATAAAAAATAAATTCCCATTCTGTTTCAATAGTCTTATATAGTCCTATATTGTTTAAAGTAAACAAAATATTATTTTCCACTTTTTATAAAAGAAATTTCAATTAACATTTTTGAATATTTTATGTAAGTAAATGTTTTTTTTGTAAAAGTCTGACAGAAATCTGAATAAGTTTCAACTTTTCTATATTAATTTTATTAAAGTTCAAAATTTCGATTATAATCGATTATTAATCGATTATGCCCAGCCGATTATTACCGATAATCGATTCTGATTTTTTTCCGATTCCCCATCACTAATATGAACACTTTAAAAAAAATATACAATGAAATCTTTGAACTGAAAGCAATATTATCATTGCAGGTTTTCGGGTTTTCACCACAAGAGCAAATTATACAACTTTATTCTTGAAAATGTTAGAGACTGAGACTTGGAGTCAAAGTCAACAGACACGCTTGCATGGACATGAAGGATGTAAAGAACTAGAGTATTATAACTGAAAGCATTTTGTCTGGATTTGTGTATGGAAACAGAAGGATTTAGTATTGGTAAGTCAAGATAGCTGTAAAATCTCATTTTGAACTCTATATGTGAGCAGTACTGTAAACCAACTACCAGGTAGTACACATGTACCCTATTTGTGTCATCTTTTATTTGCATATCTAATCTGTGTTGATTAATTTCCGTGACTAATGAAAGGAAACATTCTCTACAAATATAAAGCAAAATTAATAGTTCAGGGCAATTAATAATTTACTATTCACTAGTAAATGTAGGTCATGAAACTGGCAAATATTTCTTGCACTCAAATAAAAGTTGGTTTACAGTAATTCCGTTGCTCTAAAAACAGAAATAATAAAAAAAAAAAGCATGCTGATATCATGTATGTTATGAAGCCTAATACATGTACATAGAAGTATATAAACTGGTATATCTAAAATAAAAAAAAAATTTGGTCCTTGTTCATGATTTCAAAGTAGGTTAAAAGCCTCATGAACATGCTGAGAAGTTGTCAGAAAATATACATGTGTGCTAACCATGCTAACTGTGTAACAATAATCAGAAAATTTTACAAAATATAATCAAAATTTGGTTAATAATAATTAGTCATTGGCCAATTAAATCCATCAATGATTAAATTAGTACTTATATATACTGTCTCCTGATTTTATGACTTTTTATCCTTTTCAACATACTTATTATTTTTGAATTGAAAACATTTTTTTTACCTGAGAAAATTAAAATTTGCAATTTGTTTTAAATCTAGTGAAGGAAAACAAATGTTTTTAAAATAAATGTGTTTTGATTTAAAAGACTTGTAAACATTAGATTAGTAATACATGTAGTTTCAATACAATTATTAATATTGATGATTGATTTTTTTTAAGATTTGATAGTTATTTTATTTGTTGAAAAATAATTTTTATCTGTAATGTTCATGTATAATAAAATAATGCATTTCCCAATAAGTGATAAATGTTTCCCACAAGTCAGCAATATACACTGAAGTGTACATTTATCATGTTTATTGGTTGGGTTCAAAGGCAACATTTATATGGAAACAAAGTTTTAAGGGTAAAGCAATGGTCAATACATGTGTATTCCTCACAAGTGAACAGTGAGAAATATTCCCCACAAGTCAGCAGTAATAAATATTCCCCACAAGTCAGCAGTGATAAATATTCCCCACAAGTCAGCAGTGATAAATATTCCCCACAAGTCAGCAGTGATAAATATTCCCCACAAGTCAGCAATGAAAAGTATTACAAGTTAACAGTGAGAAATATTCCCCACAAGTCAGCAGTGATAAATATTCCCCACAAGTCAGCAATGAAAAGTATTACAAGTTAACAGTGAGAAATATTCCCCACAAGTCAGCAATGATAAGTATTACCTACAAGTCAACTGTGAGGAATATTCAATAACAACATACAATTATTTTAACCCATTCTCAATCAAATTTGGGGAGTAAATTGGAATTAGCATGTCTGTCTAACTTTCTATAGGCATTACATATTGAGGGATAATGGTGGCATTATTTTTTTTAGGAAATCTCACATCAACTTCCTGTTTATCTGTGCGTGTAAATTTTTATGTTTTTTTTTTCAGCAACTACTATGGTAGCAAGAAGTTTGAAATTTTTTAACACTCTTTGTCGAGGCATATTATATACTGGTAGTGAGATTCATTTTTATGCAAATTCGATGTCAACTTCCTATATATCCACGTGTCTCGAGATCTGTACGCAATTTTTGTTGCAGTTTTTTCACCAACTGACTATCACAGATATAAAAATGTGGTACATGTATCCATTAGATTGAACCCTAGCAATAAAAATCCAGAGTAGCATTCTCTGCTGAGACTAGCAAGCTAACCACTATGCTACACAAGTCCTGATGAGGATTAATTGGCATTTAAATCATGTTTGTGATATGACCATTGACTCAGTGGACTTTTTTTCTCGAAAAGATACAAAAGTTATATCATAAAATTATAATTTTTTAAAAGGTTTATTGGGTTTTTACTCCATAATTTTGGAAATCAAAATAGTATATTTCATTTTGTATGCAAACTTTGAGGATAAACTTGAAAAAAAAAGTGGAGTGAAGACCCACTCATACATTTCAAAACATTATTTTAAAAAGTGTGTAGTGTTGTTATGATAGTCGCTGACTATCGAAAAATCGTCGTTTAAAGGCCCAGATTGGCGACAATCGATTGTAAATATTATCATCGATAGATCACTATATTTTTCAAGCCGTATTTCTCAAGCCGAGCAGGTTTAACTTTTATATTCACCAAAGGGACATCACTCTAATCAGCAGTAAACAAAATGAGAACGTGCATGGTGAAGAGGTTATAATTATTATATCCATATCCTGGTGCATTGTCTTTTTAAAATACTTCTAAGGATGAATAAATCTAACCTTTTATAACATTTAAAATTATCAATTATATAATTATATAAGTGTTTGTGTTCTTCTGATTCAATTTGATAATAGTAAATTTGTCCAATTTTACAACACTAAAAGTGTGAAAAAATGACTCAATTTGCCCTTTTTCGCGTGTGTATTATATTTTACAGGCCAAAAACTTCAATCTTCATGAGATATGTATAAGTTGTAGAGATTTGACAGATTTACATAAAGTATACTTTAATTTTAGATGAAATATTTCGGAAAATTTTGATACAATACTTGATATCGCGATTACTTAACTTAGCTGAACTCTTTCATGAAGGAGGTAGGAATCATCTGTAGAGATGGGTATTGCGAGTGAAAACCATATTGCGATATATTGCAATATTGTACTTGAATATTGCAATATATTGCGATATATTGTAGATTAGTTATCATTAATAAATTTGTGCAGAAAGTTTAAAATGCTGTCAAGTTCAAAGACTATTTGAATTTATCTATAAATTTTAAAGGGAGCGGGGGATAAGACATTAATCGCACACATAATTACAATAACTTTTAATCAAATACCAGGTAAAATATATTAATATCAAAACAAAATGTACTCGTTTGATGTATTTTTAAATTGAAAAAAAAGTATGTATATTATATTCTTTATACTTTTTTTTTTTTTTTTTTGGGGGGGGGAGGTTGTTTTATTGAAATAGCATAAAATGTAACTTAATGATTAAAACAAGACGTACTATATGGAAATTTTATGTGGTCACAGAATAAAATTAAATCCAGAAAGAAATTGTTACCTATTTTCGGGCATTTGGTCTTTTAGTCTGACCCGACCTAATTTCACATTATGGCATACGATCGCGATCAGGAACTGCAATGGCCTATTTCTATTGTTTTAATATACATGCTCCTGGTATTACATGAAGATGTTTAAAATGGCATGAAACTTGTTAAAAAATAATAAAAAGCAACACTGTATCAAGTGAAAACATGGATGGCCATTTATTTGTAATATGTATCTTGAACTTAACATTCATCGTCGATCGTGTAGATTCCATGAGATTTTTAGAACCACAGTACACATGGTATACACACTGAAATGTTTTATATATTTTCTTTCTTAATAGTTTTATTTAAAAGTCTTTTTATTAATTATTAATTTTATTTTAAAGTGAGGTATTTAAAATTGCGACAGTGAATGAAAAGCTTCCTCTGTCTCTCTAGATCTCTTTTCTCTCTATCTGCTTCTGAAAGCTGACGAAGTATTTTTTAACTAGATTGAAAAGGCCTGGAGAAGTTACAAGTATTATTTCAGCAGTTTCTACAATAAAGGAGGTTTTCATATATTTTTATAAATATCGTGAAATACCGGTATCTGATTTTCATATCGCGATATATTATCGTGGTGGATAATACCGCAATATACCGATATACCGGTAATATTGCACAGCCCTAATCATCTGTTGGGTGGGAGCAATGTGCTATTCAATACAATTAATGCAAGATCGATCATTGTAGCATTTATAAGGACAGATAAGTAAAAAATCCTGGTGGAATACCTCGCTAGACAATCGTTGAACCAGCCTTATACATTTTTGAGAGGAGCCAATCCTATTTTTAAAGATATGTTTAATTAAGCGGACTCTTATAGTTAAATTTTCATTGAAAATCGTCACATTTTTCAGTATATAAAATATTCTTAACTTTCCTTATTTGACAATCTACTATTTGGAATTCAATATCTGGCAAAACATCGTGATTTTGGCATTAAATTGTTCGAATCATTCGATTGTCACTAATGTAAACAATGTCATTTGCCCCCAGAAATTTAGACTTTTCTTGACTCCCTCGCAAAAGAGCGGAGGTAAGTTAGATAACTGCGAGGTACTCATTGGTAGTCGCGACATAACATATTGAGATTTAATTTTTTCACCTTCATGTTTGTTGCGCTATAGGCTTATCCCTTGTTATGTTCTCGGACTCCCATCTCATTTATCATCCAATAATAAAATACATTTCCAAAGCATGTGAATTATATTTAGATGATAATTAAATACATATGATAAACAATAGATAAAAATTGATATTTTTGTCCTTTCTACTCTTCATGCATATAACATGTATAAAGTCCACAACAATAAAATGATTCATTTGATTTTTGTTAGGATTTGTTCATCGACATCCAACATATTGTTTACATGTTTATGACCACTTTTTGACCACTTTTACAAAAATATATCACTCTTCAACCTTAGTTATAACTTATAACTTTTGCACAGTTGGTGTTAGGGCTTTCATACTTCTCATTGGTATGTTCAATAATTTTTTTGACAGGTCTGCCCAAGTTTTGTATTAAAACGCTTCTGAAACTCATCTGTAAAAAACATTTAATATTGTTGGCCGATTTAAACATTTCGGGAAAATAGCAAAAAAAATGAAAACGTGAAAAAAAAAAAAACTATGAGGTTCGGAGAGTAAAATGGAGGATAGGTCAGGTGACAGGAAACATGAGTACAGTCATGTATATTTTTTTTGCCCCGGTATAGTGTCATATTTGATATTATATGGAATATGTGATTTGCAGCACATTCTTACTGATATTTCTTTAAATTACAGGTATCCTGAATTTTTGTCAACTTCTAGCCAAGATCCTGTACTTAAGCTGAATGTGGAGGACAGATGTACACACAGTACTAGTATAGAGGGTAAGTAGACCATAAAAAAAAACAAGATGTGTTTGTGAAACACTATGCGCCCGGCGGCAACAAAGTTTGGAAAAAGCTATTTTTAGCATTAAGGTCACAGTCAAGGTCACAAAGTCATTGACCTTGGTGTCATTTGAAAGAGGTTGATTAGTGGAGTATGGAGTGGACTCCATGTCACTAAACTGGAAGTGAACACCGCAGTAAATATTTTACGTAATTGAAGAAAAGAAAAAAATTGTATGTAAATCTTCATGTACAATATTATGTTTCCATATGTGATCAATTAAAAAAATATATATTTTTAAAACAAAATAATGCCTCATCAGGTCGGTAAGACAAGCTGTTTGGCTCTTTGTTGACTTGGCTTTTCAATGATTTAAATTTGGCACCGTGTAAAAATAGAATTATCTGTCCCTGGTACATATCGTCTTACAAGTAAGAAAAAGAATTGATAACTTTTAAAGTTTTCTTAAATATGTTTAAAATAACTGAATCAAAATATGTTGAATAATTATTTATTTTATTTCATTTGAACAAGCTTTCATCATCATGATCATGTTCATAGACGTCAAATATACACTGCGAGATTTACTTCCAGTTTAGTGGCATGGAGTCCAGGATGAGCTGTTAAAGTGGAAAAAGGGCCAGAAACGGCCTGTAGTCGTCAAGCAGATTGGATTTCTTAAATTGAATAAATAGTAAAACGCTCCGAATACTGAATTTGTTGCGAGATTTTTTAGGCCAAGCCCAGATCTATTAGTTTAAGTGTGTCCCCCCAAAACATATTGCCATCATGGTGTATTTTAGTTGAAGGTAGGAAAATTTCTTTCCGGATTTTTTTTTTTTTGACGATAAGAACTTCAGACTCCTGTCCTATAACATTTTTAAAAATATTTATTGATTTTTTTTAAAGTCACTTGCCCACGGGCATGTACCTATTAAAAAAATTCACTTGCCTCCCCCCCTTAAAAATTCACTAGCCCCGGGTGTCGGGCAATGGGATTTGTCAGACCCTGGTAGTGTAGATTCAAGCTTGTTCAAATCATGACCCCCCAGGGGTAGGGTGAGACCACAATGGCCGATCAAAGTTTTACATAGGAGTATATAGGAAAAATCTTTAAAAATCTTCTTCTCAAGAACTACTTGGCCAGGAAAGATGAAACTCATGTGTAATCATCTTCAGGTAGTGTAGATTCAAGTTTGTTCAAATCATGACCCCCGGGGTAGCATGGGGCCACAATAGCTGATCAAAGTTTTCCTAGGAGTATATAAGAAAAATCTTTAAAAATCTTTTTCTCAAGAACCACTGGGCCAAGAAAGATGAAACTCACCCGGAATCATATTCAGGTAGTGTGGATTCAAATTTGTTCAAATCATGACCCCCAGGGGTAGGGTGGGGCCACAATGGCCAATCAAAGTTTTACATTGGAGTATATAGGAAAAATCTTTAAAAATCTTCTTCTCAAGAAACACAGGGCCAGGAAAGATGAAACTCATGTGTAATCATCTTCAGGTAGTGTAGATTCAAGTTTGTTCAAATCATGACCCCCAGGGGTAGGATGGGGCCACAATGGCCGATGAAACTCTTTCATAAGAATATATATGAAAATCTTTTTAAATCTTCTTCTCAAGTACTTCAAAGCCATGATTAGTGATATTTATATGGAATCAACCCCCTTAATGTATATTTTAGTTTGTTCAAATCATAACCAAGCGACCCCCCCCCCCCCCCCTCCGCCTCTCAATTTTTCAGTTTTGACCAGTCAGGGGCATAACTTAAACAAGTTATTTTCAAAAATAACTCAAATGAGTTATTTTTTTGTCTCAATGAGTTACTTCTCTTTGCTATGACCTACTTTTTCCCAACCTTAATAACTCAAACACGTTATTTTTCCAAAATAGCTTTAATAAATAAATAACTTATTTAAGTTATTTTGTGTCATTCCTCCCTAACTTCACACCCCGTGCACCAAAGGATTTTGCTCGTGCACCAAGACAAAAACAAATGTTTGACTAAATATAAACCTTGCTCAATGCAGAAAAAGTGTTCAAAGTCTTGGGAAAAGTGGGGAATTTTTTATATTTAATGATTAAATTTGGACATATACACCATGTGAATAAAACCACAAAATAAGGAGTAAAATGCTGTTTATCTTCACCTCCTCACCAATTCTCCATTGGAGTCGGTGAAATCCATCTAGTATTACATAATGGAATCCCAAAATGCAATGCAAATTGGCAGGAAACATGAA